TTGTTGTTTTTACAGAAAATATAAACTTAAAAAATCCTCTGCCCTGTCTGATTACTCTCCACACCCTTTCTTTGTTTTTTACTAATCGTCAAGTCATCGACGCCTCCCATAGCATTTGAATATAACAGCTATATAGAGAGAACAATTCACAATAAAAGTTGATCTGCACTGACGTTGTAGAGAGAACTATGAGTAGACGATTATCGTAGCGTAGTTTGAGACTGCTCAGGAAACCCATACCGTGACGGCATATCCAATGTATTCCGTGTGCTACATATCATTCACTCGTAATCCCGACAATTACGTTTAATTTTTGATGTATTACCACTAAATGTATTCTTATTTAATTTTGCCGCCTGTCGGGATGAATTTTAAGTTGTTATTGTACACTGCTAAATGATATAAATCTTATGAACATATTATTTCAATAAAAATATAAGGAGACTTACACTGGACATCCATAGTAATTTTATCTTCACATGAGACTAGTGACCATTTTGGACGGGGTAAAGTATAATGTTCTAGCTGACAGTCATATACATCATTATTGTTGTCTTTATATAATACTGTCGTCCATATGTTTTCCATACCAGTCTTTCTCATAACCTCCGATTTATTTCTGTACCAGACTAAATCACCAGGTGCACTGTCATCCAAATGCATAATGCAAGTGAATGTTACGTTGTTACCAGCAATTACGGTGACAGCAGGTTCAACTGTACAGTTTGGATGACTATCTATAAACAAATATTTCGTTATATAGTTATAATCTCTAATACTATGATAAAAACAAGAGCAAATTTCGTAATATATAAATATAAAATATTTCCCGTTGCTACTCAATACAAAAAATGCACGTTTGCTGAACAAACTGTTGCATGTTGATCATCCACTTATAAACAAATAACATATTCTACTGGAATAAACATCATACCTAATTGATAACATTTGGAGCAAAAAAAACTAGTTCAGAATAAATGAACGCAAATCAATAGACCTTTTATTAATACATTGTATGAGATTACATAACATTACAAGTAAATAGAGTGGAATAGTACATTATGAACCTCACGCCACTGGTATTGCCCAAACGTAAGACACGTTTAGAAGTTTTATCACTTAAAGGTCACATGAATTGCAATGTCTCTGTATGTATTAACCTATAGTAGTGATGAATATTATTTAACAAGAATACATCATATTCCCATTTATTCAACAATTCAAAAATGTTGTAACTATTGCTTTCTTTGCTAGCATGAATGAATGATGTCCATACTTAATATAGATGCGCCACATGAAATGAATTAGCGAAAAATTGAATTAACTGTTCAATATTACCAGGACGTATAATTTGCATATTTATGAGAAAATGCCTGCGAACATAGAAAAATATTTGTTCAAGTAGAATGTTTAGGATACGAGAAATCTTTTTTTGAGCAATGCTAACTCTCCTAACTAAAATAACATACCTTAAGTCAGAATAACCAATTCGTTCGCACAGCAAATGAATGCGTAAATACATGTAGAAATCTTAATTACAAACAAGGGCATTCCAACCACAACATAACATTTACGGAAAGTATAATATGTTGTTGTGTAACAAACACCAACGTACATATATACTGTTAACGAACTAACAACAACAAGCTCTACTCATACTATTAATTCAACTGACATTTTGTAGTAACCAAATATGTTAGCATTGAACATGATAAAATCCATTATTATTTACAATACCGTATATTGTGAACTACATTTACCTATACGATACATGAATTTGCATATTATAAAAAGTCATGCTTAATCAATTCCCGACTTCTGTACTGAACAATTTAGAATGAAATATGATGGCAATTATTATGTCTGTTTCGTCAAGTTAATTTTATAAATTTTGTAGCATAATTGTTGAATTTATTATTGATAGAAATAATTTGCATTTTGAAAGCACACAGCGTGCATGGACAAACGATATGAAAA